GATCGATGGGGCGCCTTCGATGTGGGGAGTGTGGTCGTTCAACTCGGCGCTCCCTATATCGCTCGGGAGGCGAGCGAACAGACCGTTCATCATGTCCCCTGCTCCTGCGACTAGATTCGGCGCCGGCAATGCTGAGGCTTGGCTGGTGATAGTCTTGAGATCGAAGATGAGGGACTCGGCTACCAGTCGGGGTGCGGGTGCTTGCGGAGTTGGCCGGAACCGAGGCAGCGATCATGGTCTTCGTCTGGTTCAAGATGTTGACTACATGATCAGCTTGGTTGAGTGCGTCTTCCATGAGGAGGGTCTTGAGGAGAGTGATTGCTGCAACCGCGTTCTGCTAGGGGTGCGAAAGACCGCTCTCCCATCGACGTCTTGTTGTCCAATGAGCTCTCTCGCTCGCCGCCTAGATTCCAAGGCGCATTGTCGTCGATCTTCAGCCTCCTTTGCAATCCGTTCGCGATCTTGTTGCTCACGCTGTAGTCGTTCTCGCTCTTGTCGCTGTCGCTCTTCCTCCAGTCGGCGACGTTCAGCTTCTTGCCGTGCGCGATCTTGGTCCGCTTCTCGGGCTTGGCGCTGTTCCTCCGTTTCGTTGTCAGCCATGAATACGCCGAAGAAGAGGGGCGTGTAGTTATCCTCATAGTTGTCGTCGAAGTTGTCGAGGTCGCCGTGGTCGTAGTGGTAGCCAAAATCGTCGTAGTCGAGGATCTCGGTTGGTCGAGAACTGATGCCGGGGGAGCTGAGGTAACCATCCAACTCTTCCGTCGAGACTGTCCCGAGAGGTTGGAGTATAACGCCAACCTCCCTGGATCTAGATCGGATCGGGGCCGAAGCTTGAGCTCGCCTAGATCTTCGAGTGGGAGATGTCTTGACTGTGAAGACAGCGGCCAAATCATCAGGAAGTTTCATCAGGATTGAGGGATAGGACTCGTCGTCTTGATCTGGTCGCGGAAGAGTAGATTGGATCTCGTCCGAGTGGTTTGAAGCCGACTCGGGAGAGATGATCTTAGGGTAGGCCTCGGCCGAGTTCGGAATACCGAACGGCACGGGGACCTGGTCTATCCCCGACTGGTTTGAATCCGAGTCAAGGAGAGAGATCTTGCCGAAGTCGTTGGTGATGAAGTTGAGGCTGCCGAACCGGAACGCCTGCCCGGGAGGGAAGGCGAAGTCGTCGATGCCAGAAACGAAACCCATCGCACTTAGTCGGCGAGAACTTGATGCTGCCCCTACCTGGCGCGCCAACTGTCGAAGCAAGATTTCGACAATAATAAAAGGGGGTGGCTATCAAGCTAGGAAAGTGGATGGGTTTTGAGACAAGGAATTTTATACAGGTTCAGGCCTTCTTATTCAAGAAGTAATACCCTACTCCTGTCCGGGGATGATTCCGCCGAGTGTGTTATTGATTGTATAAAGTGGAAAAAAAGAATCGCCCCCCAAGAGGCACACGGACCCTCCTTAAATAGGGGAAGGAGTCCGCTTTACAAAATACAGTCCATATCTGTAACGTCCCGCCTTACCCCAGGCCGGGCCCGCTTACATCTGATAGCTTTCATAAGTCATAGACTGCCCTCACAGACCAACACATGTCTTTTCTGCACACTTTGTCCTCACTCGTGTGCACCTAGGAAGAATTTCCCGGTCGGTCACCCATCCGTCTTTTCTGCACACTTTGTCCTCACTCGTGTGCACCTAGGAAGAATTTCCCGGTCGGTCACCCATCCTAAATTGCTCTGGGCCACCCATCCTATTAAGCCCTAGGCCGGGATGTTACACCCTCACCCCCTTAAGAGAGATCGACGCCCCGTCGATCAACCCTAGGCCAGGAACGTCCTCTCTTGGCCACGTTCATGTGTCCAGTGCCAGCGCATGTGCCATGCTGCCTTACCCCAGGCCGGGCCCGCTTACATTTGATAGCTTTCATAGGTCATAGACTGCCCTCACAAACCAACAAACCAACACATGTCTTTTCTGCACACTTTGTCCTCACTCGTGTGCACCCGGGAAGAATTTCCCGGTCGGTCACCCATCCCAAATTGCTCTGGGCCAAGCACGCTTAACCCTGGAGTTTTTTTGGAGATTGGCTTCCGGAAAAGAAGTTGCAACTTGTTGATATGAGTATTCTATTAATCCTATTAAGCCCTAGGCCGGGATGTAACGGAATATGGGATTATAGATAAAATACAATCATAACCGACTAAAATCCCGGGTATTTCCTTGACATACAAGTTTAGAATCTGACTCGAGTCTTCGTAGAGATATTCCATCTATATTTGGTACCGTATATTCGACTAAATTACAACTGTGATGTAGATATGGGGTATCCATAATCTCCACACTCATTGAATCATCCATCAAACAGTGTCGTGTTACTACTATCATACCTGCTCCGTGAACGTTTTTGTTCATTTGTTCCGCCTCCCCTGTCATGCATCTCCCTTCAGCGGTTCGGCCAAATGGCTGTCGACCCATTCTTGGTACATTCGGCACCGTTTGCTTTTCGCATTGATTCTCGAACTCCAATCGTCTACGAGAACCCTTTTCCAGCCACGCTGGTCACGCTGCGGCTCGAGCGTAGCTGCGTAACGCGACCCAAATCTTGCCCGACAGCAACAGCCAACTCGAACCAATCTCTTACTGCCGCGGCAAATTCTACCCCATTCCCCGTGCTGCCGTGCACATCGCTGTGTCTCGGTGTCAATTCACTCGCCTAACCGCGAAAGAGACCGCTCAGCGAACCGAAATCATGCGCTCGGCCGTGCGTGCCACCGGTAGACATGCCTCTTCGCGACAGAGAGGATGGCTCACCGAATTCGTGCACCCTTCCCATGTAAACACGCAAAGGCAATTGATTGCAACGTGCACCGTCGTGTGCCACTGTGCCGCTGGGGTTTAGAAGAGGGGTTTGCGAGAGCACAACCATGAGGCGGCCATGATCCATGATTGCCCAGGCGCCCACAAAGCCAAGATGCTCTCCTTAAAAACTTGCAAAAGTTCTTGTTCTCCTAAATCTTTTTTCGTCAGGACGAAATGGGCACAGATGGCGACTAGCGCCTATAATGTTTTTGACATCAGTCCCCGTGTTGTTGGCTTTAGAGCGATACTGCCTCGGTTGAAATTTTTTTTATGTGGTGCGTCCTGATTTTAAAACGTAAATTTTACAGATTTTGATCAACCAGTAGTCCAATAACAAATACATTTAGTGTAAAAAAAATAGATTATTAAATTCATATTTTAAGAAAAGCACAATTTTCTAGTTGCTCTAAAGACCAGCGAAAAAAAATTTTCATTGTGACATGTATTTGGATCATGCTAACTATAACGATGCAGATTATAGCAATGAATGTGTAGGAAATGCAATCGCGTCTTTAGATCTGGAGATAAAATACAAAATTGCTCAGAAAAATTGACTACGTCTTATAATCCCTCTAGTACCATCGCACCATCACCTAACTCATTTCAACCTTTTCAAGTAGATTATCCATCTATCTAGGCCGTATACCCCTCCCCCCTCTCCCATCATCAATTTCGCTATCTCCTCAATCTAGAGAAGCAGAGTGGTTACACTATCATCCACCTTTAACATATAATCATCACTTAAGTTCTCCAATCTTATTGGCTTTGATTCTCTCTAGTTATTGTCATCCTCTCCCATTACCCTATTTAAAGTAAGGCGGGTAGCTTTTGAAAAGACCATACTTGAAAATTGATTTTTGTCATTTTCTTTTCCAAGTAAGTTTCTCAAAACTACATATAATTTAACTAAACTATTGCAAATCTAAAGATTTAGTAATATAATTATCACAAAACCTACATAATTTAGAGTTTGAGTTTCTAGCACTAATGTTACATTGAGTTATAAATATCTAAGTTTTGTTATTAAATTGATACTAAATCTGGATTTATGATAACTTTGTTAATAAATTTATAGTTTTATTATGAATTTGGTATTAAATTTGTAGTTTTATGGTACATTATTTTAAATCTATGGTATTATGATAGATTAGTTAATATATTTGTAATTATATGAAATTTACTTTTTCTTCAAAAAAAATTGTATTCAAGAAATTATTTTGAATAGTTTTTTTAATGTTACATAGTTCGATTTCGCTCTTTCCAACTCAGAATCTGCCCTAGACTAGTTTGATTGCAAAACCTATTCCCCATAACGTTACCAAGTTCGTCACTGCTATCTGTGTCCCAATCCCAACCGTCCATCTCTATCCATGTGCTAGTGGCTCCATCAATGCAACTAACGGACGTGTCCTCTCTCGTCCACACTAGGACTAGCCAATGTGGTTTACAACCGTCAAGCGCTGACTTGTTCTTCGATCGTCTTCATCTCGGATAGCGCCTGTCAACTGTATGAATTGAACATGGACATACGGTTGCGAATTACTCCGTATAGTACCCTTGAGTCTCGCTCTGAACCACTAGTGCCTGGTGGACTCCGTCACGCAGTGAGCATCGGGGAAAAAAAAAGCAAAACATGACTCCACTTCCGTGCTGTACTCTGGTGAGGCGAGAAAAGTCGAAAACCGCATAGCAAGTTGTACAAGTGTATTATTAGTAGGAGTAAACAACACAAGCAACAGTATGGAGTAGAAGCACCTACGAATTTTCCGTCTGACCAGCGAGCCCGTCATCCGTCTTTGCCGCGCCGGGGACCCCACGCCCACTCGCCCTCGCCCAAATCAAGTTTCGGCGTGCGTTTCCCATGTGCCCCCACGCCCGTAGTCCGTGCGCACGTACCAGGGCGGCGGGGGCACCACCCCGGTCAAACTCAAACGAACTCAAAACAACCCGCGACGTTGTCCCGTTACGCGTCAGCTTGCCACGCCACGCGGTTAAAACGTACGGCAAGCGCGCCTCTGGTTCCTTCCGCACGCCGCACGCGCGTTATCCACCAAAAACCACGTGAAAACGTCTCGGTATCGATCACCTCACCACACCGCCCGCGAGGCCGCGACCGCCGACCGGCGCCCATCACCGCTGGCGCTCTATATAAGCGCGCGCGCTCGTAACGACTAGTCGTCACTCGTCACCATCCTCCCCCTTTGCTTTCCACGACTCTCTTTCGCCGCAGTCTCTGCTTCCGTGCATCCATCGGCGTTCGGCGACTCGGTGTATAGTAGTATTGCCAACTGTGCGTAGCAAGCTCGATACAGCGGCGATCATGGGGTTCCCTCTGGTGTGCTACTGCATGGCGATCCCCAAGCCGCTCATCGCCTTGGCCAAGCTCCTCGCCGCCATCAGGGAGGCCCTCCAGCTGATGCTCTTCGTCGTCGGGATCTGCCACCACCCGGAGCGATCGGGCCGCCCGGCTGCCGTCGACGCCCCGCTGCCCGACGAGGTGAAGGACCGCCTCCCGCCCCTCGAGTTCGCCCAGCTGCTCGCGGCCTCGGAGCACGGCTGTCATGGCTGCGACGACGACGAGGCGGTGGCGGGGTGCATCGTGTGCCTGGAGAGGCTGGAGGCGGATGACGTGGTGCGGCGGCTGGGCAACTGCGCGCACGCGTTCCACCGCGGCTGCATCGACCGGTGGATCGACCTCGGCCGGTTGACGTGCCCGCTGTGCCGCTCCACCCTGCTGCCGCGCGCGCGCCCCGCCGCCGGCCCGCGCGGGCGACTGGGCCGCCTCGCCACCCGCCTCACGGGCGTCGTTTGGTGAATCAATATTTGGCCCGCGCGACCGCGACGCGACACGGGATCGGTTGGGTGGGAGGGCAGTCGCGCCATTTCACAGCCTAAGCTAGCTTACTGCTGCTGTTAATCAACGGAGACAAAGCTCTCTTTCCCTTTCGTTTCCTTTTTCTTTTTCTGCCGAGGATTATCCAGCTGGAGGAGAGTGGTACGTGTCGGAATGCGGTGGAATATATCGATGATTAGACGGTAGGAACAATTAATTAGAAGCAGGCAAGCAGCTGGTTGGTTGGCCCGGCCTGGCACCTGGCATGATCATTGGGAGGTTCATGTAATTACTGCGATGATTAGATACTGCATGTAAGTAAATCATGTCATAGAGATAATACACCTGTGTACAGTGGTATAATGATAAACGGTTCATTTGGTATGTCTCTGTTTTTCTGGTCCGGTATTGGGTTTTTCAATGTTTGCAAATTGAACCTTTATGGTTATACTAGTACGTCACTGAACCGAGAGCTGAACTGGTCCATTTTGCATATATAATTTATTGATCCACTTGATCATGATGCATGATTGTGTATCAACTGGAATGTCTTTATGATTTTGTAGGACTGGGATCATTTGTCCTATACAGAAGCTCCTAGCTAGTCGTTGCAAAACTAATGTGTGGAATATTCCAAATTTGCCTCTTTATCCTTCCACAGTTCTAAATGTGGAAGGAACAGGGCATATATCTATTTCGAGTCAGCTACACTCATATTTCTGAACTTTCGGTGTAAATTTCGAGTATAACTTTTTTAAATTAAGTGCGACTCAATTACTTCTCTCTGATTTTCAATTGTTGACGTGTGGACCCGCTACATAAGGAACCCGGCCATATATCAGTAATGAGTAATCCACGTTAGAGAGAAGCTAGATGATCTTAATCCCTCCTCGTTCTTAGTACTTTGTTATTTAATTATTGACTGTGTTCGAAGTAAACAAACAAACGGCCCAAGATAAGCTGACTGAATTGACTGGTCCCGTTCTTTTCTTTAATAAGAGTTGGATGAAAAATTAAGATTTTCGTGGCACGTTTTTTAAACTACTAAACGATGTGTTTTGTGCGAAAATTTTCTATATGAAAGTTGCTCTAAAATATCATATTAATATATTTTTCAAGTTCGTAATAATTAAAACTCAATCAATCATACGTTAATACCATCTCGTTTTGCATAAAAAACTTAACCTTAGGTGGTGTTTGAATCTCCTGAAAATGAAGATGAAGATAAAGATTAAGTGTTTCACGCAAAATGAGGTGGTAATAACGTGTGATTAATTGAGTTTTAATTATTACAAACTTAAAAAATGGAGTAATATGATATTTTAGAGCAACTTTCATATAGAAAGTTTTCGCACAAAACACATCGTTTAGTAGTTTAAAAAGCGTGCCACGAGAATCCAAAATTTTATCCTACCCTTGCAGAAGAAACAAACGGGGCATCTTCAGGAGAAAAGAACACAGCCTTGAAAGCACATTGGCATCAAATTTAACCTTTAAAAAGCAAATAGTCTAGCTTACCTGCTAAGGTCCTTTATAATGAACCTGTGTATCGAGTTTAAGTATCACACTTAGTACATATGGTTGTTCGTATTTACGGTTAATTGTTCTTTAAGTTGTTAGCAATGTACTTGTCAACAACGAGGCTCCTACGATAACTTTATCATTCTTATGATATACACTCATAGTTAGAAGCACGGTGTGCATGAGTGTTCATAAGGACAAATATATAAGTGTATACGAGTGTTTTTGTATTTGCGTCTATTATATGTTTAAATAAAATATCACCTAAATAAATATGAATATAGTACGTATTTAACTAGACCAGCAGTTTGAATTAAATCTACTACTAGTATGTACTTGCGCCATTAACTGGATTCTTCCAACGTTCTTCTCTCACCTTGAACGAAAGTACATTCATCAATATCAGCAACACCAATCATTTTCGGCCATGATCAGATGGCCCTGCGTGCCTGTTGAGCCACCTTCCCTTGTGAGATAAAGGCTACAGCTTCAGCAATCTACAGAAACTGAAGGAAAAAATTCTGTATAATATTGAATGCATATGTACGTACCAATCAATTGATGAGTGCACATGACATCCTACTTGATTAATTATTGGGTTATGGCAAATTCGATCAGATTCCTTTATTCAATAGTACAATTAGTTTGCACCCATACCGTTACAAGAAAAAAACGAGATCATCTTCATGCTTCTGATTGTCATGTCATTGTCATTATTCAATAACTAAACAGTACTAGCTGGAATGAAGTTCTGGAGATAAACATTGCATACATGTTGTGGTTTCATTGAAAAGGGGATGTCGATCAAAAGTCCAATATGTTATATATGTTATATATCGTCACAAATTTTCTTGTAACCATGAGTTGTTTTGGCTATGGTTCACACGCACTATATAGTTTGTATATAAAAATAAATATTTTACAAATTTGTGTGCTAGATTATAACCGCGCCTCACAATTTCATGAATCGTCAAAGTGATTACTCTAAAAAAATATTAATAGAAAATCCAAGAATTGAAGTCACATATTGGATGGTGATACTAAATCAGAAAAATAAAACAAATTAGATGCTGATCATACCTTCATGTGTGTCAAGCATGTGAAAGATTGCTACACAACGAGGATTAGAAGGCTGATGCCATTGTGTAATGAATGGAGGAGAGCTGTGACAAGGTGACAAAAGAGGCTAGCAACTGGGTGAGATCACAATGGGGCTAACGGTTGTGAGGATTATGGTTGGGGAAGGATGGTAGAGGAATGGTTTCATATATATACACCACAAAAAGATTCCAAACATAAATCGTTTTCAACTTTTGCACAAGAACTAAAATAGTAATTAAATTAATGTATGTTACAATCCATTCATGAGAGTGATACAATGTATTACCTTTGTTTTAGATTATAATTTGTTTTGACTTTGGTTAAAGTCAAACTATTTTAAATTCGACCAAATTTATAAACAAATTTAGTAATACTTGCAATACCAAATTAATTTAATTAAATCTATAATTCAATATGTTTTTATAATATATTTGTCTTGTGTTGAATATGTTACTACTTTTATCTACAAACTTGGTTAAACTTGAAACAGTTTAACTTTGACTAAAGTTAAAACAACTTATAATCTGAAATAGAGGGAGTACATATTTAGAGTAATTTTACAGTTATTGAGTAAGTACTGGGATTTTAGTGTAAAATTTTGTACTTCTCGATACACTACCTCAGTTTCAGGTTATAAGACTTTCAAGCATTGTCCACATTCATATATAAACGGAGAAAGTACTAAATTTTGTATTAAAAAAATTTGATACCTCTTGATACATTTTAAGTGATGTAAAATTTCTCATGTATTTAACAAGGGCAACAATAAGAAAAAACTAAAAATTGTCTTAAATATCCTAGAGTGACTTGTATATTATGAAAGTTTACCATTCAACATTTGGTACTGGAGGTACCATAAATTTTGATATCCCAAAATATTTTCTAGTATAAAATTTGGTATTGGATGGTAAAATTGCTCTTATACTAAAGATGTGATTTTGGAAAGAAATCATCCATACACATCATCTAAAATGAAACCGTTGTCGTCGGTCACATATGCTATATAGAGTACGTAATAAACAGTTTACCCAAAGCTGGTAAGATTATTTTCAAACAAGATCCAAATCAAAACATAAAAAGGTAGCACGGAAACACAACCACGGACGCAGAAGGTGCAAACAGCTAGCAGTAGCTTACACACAAAAACATACAGATTAAAGGGCCACGCAAGACCATTAGGTGGCTCGCAGAGAGATCCGAGATACATGTAGCCCACTCCACATCCCTTTTATTATTAGCTCCAACTTCTGACAGCTGATCGATGGCTGCTTAGCTCAAAGAACCCATCCCAGCATGAAGTTGTTCTCTGCACCTGCAGGGGCAGTGCTCCTCTGAATAGTGTTTGCTTCAGCAGGCACAAATTGATGAGGATACCTAGTAACATAATCGTTTTTCAGATAATATAATGGAAGCAAGATATACACAGTCAGTTTGATGAGAATCTTTCATTAGTTCTACTAGTTCGGATGCTGTGATCGAGCTGTATGCATTTGAGCTAGAAGTTATAAGTATATGCATTTCTGGTCTTGGCTTTTCTTGATTAATCTTACCCAATTTGCAAGGTGGGTTCAGAGTCCATGGCCGCGGAGTGTGGCGGCGGCTGCACGTATGCGGCGCCATTCTCCACCACGGCGCCCTGAGCCCAGGAGGCTTGCTGCATGGCTCTGTAGTTGCTGGTGGAACCTTCAACCTCGAGCTGCAGCATTGGATATGAGAATATATGAATGAAAATTATCAATAAATAATTATATGTGCACCGCATTGGCATAACAGATTTCCGAGTGAATAAGAACCTTGTGCTTGAGTTGCCTATTAATTTCACCCAGCTGACGCTCCTGTGGCACAAGAAAAATATATTGGAGATAGTATAATATGTAACAACTCTCATGAAAGAAATCTCTCGCAAGAACGAAGCTACCATTTCTTTAGTTATACAGTCAAAGGCTACACGATCTACCCTAATTAACTTGCATGCGGTATACCCTAGCAGCCTTGCTGGCAATATAGATGCATTGTCAAAGCTAGCCAAGTCATTTCGTGGTTTAATTTAGATTATCACTAGTAGCTAGCACTCCTGAAGTCACCCGCCCATGGCAATGCTGATACTGTATGTATGCTTGAGAAACTTTGGATTGATAATGTACCTTTCTGCGAAGTTCCTCCACTTGTTCCATCATCAGTTGCGTCTGCACAAAAACCATTCAAGCACAGTCATATTGAGTTGACAGTAATATAATGAAGTGTAGATTATATCCAGTTTCTGAACTTTCATGTGTTCTACCTAGCTATTTCTTGGGATCTTTTATGGTCCTTGGGAGATTTTGAAGCATGTACGACGCACCACAAAATGAATACTAGTGTATATTTAATCTCTCTACCTCTATCCTTCAAAGTTCTATTTTCTTTGGGTTATTCACTTATTCTTTTTTTAGCAGCTAAATTTTCCTGAAACTCCAGAATTGAAGCCATATTATTTCATCAGCTACTCATTGTCATTACTATCCTTGTTGACGGGATTGTCATGCAGCTTTGAAGTGTTTTATTTTGAAAAGAGTAAACATATAATTATTAATTAGCCTAAACAAGCAGCCATAAGTAGTAGTATATCTGAAATTGACAGTTTAGATTAATGTTGCAGTTGCTCGGCCCTGTCACTACACATGTATCCATATAAAGAAAAAGGGCATGCGTGCTAGCCATTCTATATTTCTATTCTATACTTAGATAGTCTTTTATATGAAATTTAGTGCCACTGTATGCATCACCTTCGTGCCTAGAATAGGGTGAATTTATCAAGATACATGCTACGCCCAGTTGCTTCAAATTACTTGTCATTCTACGTTTGTCCTAATTCAAACACTTATATATATTTTTGACCATTAGTTTCTAAAAAAATGATACTATAGTTTAACACCACAAGGGTTATGTTGTTAGATACACAACATGAAAAATCCTTACAGAATGTACAGTTCACATTTTGTTAAACTACACAAATTTCCAGAAATTGATGGTTAAAGATAATGACTTAGGGCAAATTTATGAAACAAAGGGATTACTTATGCTGCATAGTAGCTTTCACACTTCTTTAAAAATATCATCAGTTGACCTTTACCATAAAATAAGGTATCAATATTCTAAGTGAAATATGTCTTGGCTTTCTACCAAACCACCACCATGCATTAGCTAGAGATTGAAACAATTTTATGCAATTCTCTTTAGATAATGTAGGATAAGCATTCCCAGTTATTATGTTCACTTCCATGAACAAAAACAAATTAGTTAGGTGCTCTTTATATAAACTTTAGCAAGGGGATATTCCATAGCTAGCGTACACCTCCTGTCTATTTATAAATATATATAACTTTACCTACAAACTAAAGACATACTGTATATTTTATTGCTTCTCACGTATTGCACCTATATCCAAATCAGTGGACAAATAACAAGCGAACCAGGGTAGGCTAGAAACAGAAGTATTTTGGTTCCAAACAAAGGACTGCAGAATGCCATAAACCTTTCTCTGTCTCGCCTGTGATAGTGCACATTCAAGCTGTTTCTCCAGCTGCTGCAATTCTTTGACGCTGAGTGGTCCAAGATCCTCCCCAAGCAAGTGCCTTTAAGAATCAAGCAAAACCCAAAGAGCATAATGTAAATATTAAGGTAAATTGCATGACACATAAAGTTTCGCAGCAGCTATATTACAGAATAATGTGTGTAAATGCACGTTATGGGCTGCTTCTTCCCTCTTTCCCTTAACACAACATTATCACTTGCATGCATGTTATAGAAAAATATATTGTGTATTTGCAGGAGTTATGCTTCTTGGAGAGATCATAGTGAAATACCTTTGAGTGCGCTGCAAAGCTTCAAATTTTGCTTTCAACTTTGACATTTCATGGTACCAACTCTTCAGGATCAGAGGAAAAGAAAAACCATTAGTTCAGTTCACAAAAATATTTATCAGCTAGTTCTAACGACTAAGGAACTGTGTGTTTGGCGAATCATACACTGAATATTAGTGTTACACAGAGCAAATTAACTTTCTGCGGTTTCTTTAAACACTTGATAAAAGTCGTTTGTGAATTTTAACTAAATATGTCACATGGCCTCCTTGTACATATACGTTGGGCTTATTCTTTTTTTAAAATTTTGTGAAACATGCTATTAATGATACAGCTAGCAAACTATATATACTGATTATTGGGCAAATAAGTTGCAGGATGTCAATGATATAAATATAACCAAGTGACATAACTCCTTAGATATTTTGCGGTTGGTAAGTTCTCAAGAATTTCAATTTGATCTCATGACTTTTGAAATTATGCACAAGGGCATCTATGTTTTTGTTTGAAATGTTATGAGGACGTACTCTAATTGATTGACTGAAATTTAGAATCACCATAAAGAGTACTCCCTCCGTCCCACGAAAAACCAACCTAGGCTGTGTTTAGTTCCACGCCAAAATTGGAAGTTTGAAGATATTGGAACGATGTGACGGAAAAGTTGGAAGTTTGTATGTAGGAAAGTTCGATGTGACGGAAAAGTTAAAAGTTTGAAAAAAAAATTGGAATCTAAACAGGGCCCTAGTACTGGATGTGACATATCCTAGTCCAATGAATCTGGACGTACCCTGACTGAGGGAGTACTATCTGGTCACAGAGGTACACCCTTATTTTTTTGGGATGTGCACTATTGTTGTACATTCAATCACCATCTATATTTAAATATTGAACTACATCGACTAATTTACTTCATACTGGTGGCTGTATTTTAGCCTAGCTAGGAGTATATTTGTATATTCGTCGATGCAGGGAATATATACTTCATATTCGATGCAGGGAATACTTCATGTAAGGTTACACTAGGGAGCTAGGGGCACAAAAAGTCATTTAGACTAGCTATTTGTATATTCTATGCTGGTAAAAACCTATACTAGGTGCAACATTTCTGAATACATATACGCCGTAAACAGCACGATCTTGCATTGTAATATGGTATAATTATAACAAACAACTAGTTTGATACCCCGCGCGTTGCTACGGGATTTTATGGTGATGATAAACAACTTTGTAAATATGTGCTTACAAACAGAATTGAAGAATTGAAATATCAAAAGTAAACATTCTAAAATAATAAAGTGTAAAGTTGGCATTTGAGTGGTAGATGGTTAAGGGATATAGCAGTGGCTTAATATGGGGGATGCATGTAATGCATGACCAGGAGCACTTAAGTGGGTCATCCATTGATGTGCCTAATTACCCATGGCAGTTTCCTTACTTAAGGCATGCACAGTTAAACAAACAAAGATGCATTTGATCCGACGGCTATTGATTATCGATGATGTGGCTTAACCTGGATGCTTCTTTATAGTGTTAATGCTTGTAGTGGGTACCAACTATATAGGAAGAAGGGATTGTCTTTGTTGTCCTCCTTTGACATGTCAATAAAAACTTCATTTATTACATAAAATATGGTTAATGCATGCCGGTGTTGAAATTCTACTAGTTTAATTCTTCTAAACTTTGCCATTCTTTAGAATGCTTTTACGAAAAGAACATCCGATTTAGTAGCTGTGTCAAGTAAAATATTTTAAGTCACTGCAAATTAGCTTTGGGATACATCATCAAATTAACACAGTTATGCTAATCTGTGTACTTTTTATTGAATGTAATCTCACAATACGATGAAAATACCTAGCTAGGTTTATACTGTAGCTAATTTCAATGTCAGGACATTGATAATTGCATATTCATACAAAAATATATATAGTAAAAAAACAAGACCCATTTTGAAACCAAAACCAACAGCAGAAATTCATGACCAGTTCATGCAGATATATATACCTGGGTTTCAGAAAGTGCATTGTTGGAATCTTGAGCATTGTAGCAACAATGTTGGTACCTTTCTAAAGTCTTTGTTATGCTGCACAAAAATGTTATATGTAAATTTCTCATATATCAAATTACTACGACGTAAAAAGTGCATAGATGTTATTTATAGAGGCAGAAGCTTATATTATAATGATATCAAAGGTCACTCTATATTTACTATTTCTTTTCGTCCAACAAAATGATCATGTTTTTTTTGGCAAAACATAGTATGTAAGAACGTAAAAAAAAAACATAGAAATGTTACTTGTAGAGCCAGAAGCTTATATTATAACTCTTGATTTATGACATAGATAATTTTTTTCATCCAACAAACTGATCACATGTGTTTTGATAAAACATGCAGTCAGCTTTCATCGTTGAAGTGGCTTTGTGTGAGATATCACGAAGTGACTTTGTGTTGCATTTATAGATTGATAAAATTATTGGTTACAATAACTAGGTTTTACTACCTCCGCCCTAAATTAGTGGTTGCTTTAACTTTTTCTTGTAACATTTGACCATTCATCTTATTTGAAAAATTAGTGCACTTATAAAAAAAGATAAGTCATATTTGAAATACTTTTGATAATAAAGTAAATCACAAACAAAATAAATAATAATACGATAATTTTTTTAAATAAGATAAATAACCAAACGTTAAAAGAATAACTGAAAGCGACAAGTATTTAAAAGTGATCGATGTGTAGAGACACACACAAATCTAGGCGAATGCTTTGTAAACCATAAACAAGAAGCTTGTGAACAACACAATTAATGGTCCAAGGCATAAACTGATTAGTGGTGTGAAGAAGGAAAAGATGGTCCGAGGTATAAACAATAATTGATTAGTGTCCCAATTGCTTCAAGAAGTATAGACCCTTGACTATTCAGGGAAAAAAAAGACTTTCCTGACGGTCAAAACACAGGCGCGCCGACTCCAATTCAAAACGAACACATGCATGATTTTACAGAAGGAAATCAAGGTCTGTTTCTTATACAAATACATGTTAGATCGTCTGGTTAGTTGAAGTGATAACAACAGCTTTTTCATGCATGAAAAGATCATCTCAAATGCCTGGTGAATATAGGCTTTATCTTATAATGGTCAAAACAGATTGAAACATATTAAATATATACTCGAAAAAGAATAGACTGAAAAATATCAAATCTTTTTCAATGAAACAGTTGGATGCATACATAGTTAAATTCAGGCGCGCGCGCGCGCACATATATATATATATGCATATAGCATCTAATTAACCCTTCAGTTGATTTTCCCTATTGTATGATTTTCACAATCAAAGATGTGGATTGGATCTTGAAAAGTTATAATGTTATCCACATAAACTCTATACTTAGCGGGAAATATGCCAAAAACAAAACAAAAGAGCTAGATTTTACATATAAACATGTGAGTGCAGATTATAAAAAATCCCCCTTATCAAGGAAAAAATGTCATCACGAATAAATAGAGAAATTACCCTGTTAAGCTCCCTTTTTTCATAATAAGTAAAACTTTTCGTGCACCATTTTAGATCTGTCACAAACGTACCCACCAACTAGGCAAATAATGAAAAGATCTCCAAGTTGAGCTAGTACGAAACAACTAGGAGTCAAGCAACATCCATGATTAGTAAAGAATAAAGAATGGTTTAAGCCGTAGTAGGAATCGTCATGAAATGAGGAGAAAGAAGAGCAAAGATCAAATATAGACAATTTTGGCCACACCACCACAAGCGAAACAGATGCAGGCCTGACATCAAGTGTTGATATATAGAAAATCCATTCAACATATTTCCGGTTGAACTTACATACAGTCAAATTGAGAATGCATCATGCTATAACTGACAGATCAAAATGATCAAGCCAAGATGAGGAAGAAGATAGAACAAGAGAAGGGGGGGGGGGAAATAAGGTGATGGCATCAGAACTCAAAGTATGAAGACCTCCCGAGCAAAAATAGATCTAATTAAATTTCTTCCAGTATATATGGAAGTAGAAAACACGAATTAAATTTGATTCATGCTGAGAAACATGGCATGAGATCCGAAGGAAGTGGAAAGCTAGGAGAAGGGTGATGAAGAACAATGAAATTGATCAGTTCATAGCATGGGGAGGTGAGGGTAAGACCAAAATGGAGCGGTGCTACGCTGCTACGCCGATTCTTCCAGGGTCATCACAAAGTATGAAAATCAATGTGCCGGAAAGATCTTAATACCAGAAGGGGCTCCCCTGATGGATCAAAAAGGAAAGAACATACCTTCCTTTCTAGTTTGCAGCCTTCATGCTAACTCTCCACTCAGTTCTCACACACAACACACCCTCTCTAGTACTGGTTTTGAGAAATTTATCGTTCGAGCTGTCTCTGACACACGCACAACCCGGAAGATGGGCAATAATAATCCAAGGAAGACCCGGAGAAACTGGAAGAAAGAGGTCAGCAGGAGTAGGGTTTGTATAGATCCGCTGAAAAGATATCCTCCCATGCTAGTTAGGGATCCGGCCTCCCGGTTTATAAGAACACCGCGCCATGTCCCTATAGTAGTATGCACAGACACACACAGACAGACGGAATAAAATAATTAACATGGCCAGGTAAGTATAGTAGCTCGGCTACTTGGCACCTGCTAAAAATAAATGAAAAAGAAAACGAGAAACCCCAGAGGAGCAGGACGCCGTTGCAGCAGATAAAAGAAACAAAAAAGAACAAAAAAAAAGAAGCAATTGATCAGAGAAAACAGCAGATCTGCAGGTTCAAATTGATGCTGGTTTGTTGGTTGTGTGTGTTGTTGTGTCTGTATTAATTATACCCGGCGCTGCCGAACTCGTAGAGCTTGCCGCGGCTGGAGAAGATGATGAGCGCGACCTCGGCGTCGCAGAGAACGGACAGCTCGTAGGCCTTCTTGAGGAGGCCGTTGCGGCGCTTGGAGAAGGTGACCTGCCTGTTGATCTTGTTCTCGATGCGCTTCAGCTCAACTCTTCCCCTCCCCATCTCGCCCGATCGATCGAACGATTCCTCAGCTCAGCACCGATCAGCAAGCACAGGCTAGCTAGCTCCTCCTCCACCACCACCACCACTGCCTCTCTTCTTGCTTGCTAAAGCCTCCAATGATGACGAGAATATAACGAGCCGCGCGAGAAGAGGAGAATATTAGTGGAGTCGAGTCCGGAGAAAGGACATTGGGCACTGTACCACAGTAGTACACTAGTACTAGTAGTAGCTCTTTGTGAAACTGGTTTCTTGCTTGCTTTGACACACATCTCTCTTTCTATCTCTCTCTCTCTCCCTCCATCACAATTCACACACCTCCTCTCCCTTTCAACAATAAAGAAGGGTAACTTTGGCGTGGGGCTAGCAAGTTTACCACAGGTTTTACCCTAACTGGGAAGCACGAGCCAAAATGGGGGCAATCCAATGCCACACCCGCCACACCACAAATATACACCGTTGCGATGATGCATATATGCATATACACGAGGAAGATGGCCAAAGGAGGGGAGAGGGCTACTCCCAGACTCACAGTCTCTCTCTCTTGCGCGCGCACACACACTGCTCTCCTAGACTTAACCCAAACCATGTATGTCGCCACCTACTGGTCCAATGGACCACGGCACCGTCCGGTAGAGGCTGCCCAAAAATAAAGAAGCAGGGAGGGGAGGCTTAAGGATTGTTTTGCCAGCATCTGTGCTTTATCCAATAATCCAGTTTGCCTTTGGGTGCATATGCATGGTAGAGCTAGGTAGTAGTAGTACTTGTATTATTCTCCTCTCCCCATATCTTTGACAAATTCCAGTTGCCGGGCATACTGCTCATGCATGATTAATGTTTTTCCTTTCCCTTTTTTTCTCTTTTTGTTTTTTTGCGTAGCTAGGCTCGATCTACTGCACGGTTCCAACATATATTGCTGCAGGTACTTCTTGTGACTTGTTTAGTAAAAAGAATTGCGTAAATATCATTTGTTTCATTGTAACTAATTTTATCATTGAAGGTATATATATTTGCGCAAACTATCTAAATAAGATACATGGTTAAATATATGACCAAAAGTCAATAGGATCGTATATTTAAAAACAGAAGTAGTAATAAAGAAGGCTAACTTTGCACGACAAAGAAAATTGCAAAATGATCCCCATTTATAGAAAAATCCATTGAGCTTGTGCTCTCAAGCTTACTAATAATGTAATCAACAAAACCTGTGAATTAATTAAGTCATGCAATAGATTGGCACTGGTAGATATTTCAAGAGTAATATTCAGCAAGGGACCACATGCATATGATGCACAGAATTGAAATGACATCTCAATGTACTTGTGCATCAGCAAGGGACCATATGATGTTTGCCCTAGCTAGTTCACAAATCCTGTGTCTATTCCCGGTCGTTTCTTTATTTTTTTTATTTGATGCATTTTAAGTGGGAAATTCATTTTAATATTTTTTCCTCATGTTTTCTTCGTGTTCCCACATCACACCATCGTCCTAGAAACCGTCCCAACCTTTGACATCCTTTAAGCCACCCACTGGTCATGGTGGAGGCAATTAACAGGAGGCCAGACATCCTCTGCCGGCCAATGGCCACCTTCTTTCAATCTCCACCAGTTGGATAAGAGTTCGCACCACCTCTAGCAGCAATGGTCGTCCGAGGTCGTCAACACATCATTGCAGGGGAGCCGTTGGCTTCCTCAAGTAGCCCCATGAGCACACTGTCACTATGATCCACTGTGCCAGATCCTACCGGCAGAGACGAGAATGCGATCAGGGTGGTGGTCAAGCTAGGAGGATAAGTCGGTAGACACGGGGATATGGGTAGCGTGGTACCAACAATGGAGCGTGGTATGCGTATGCTACCGTGCTCATCACTTGGGGGACGACACCGCCCCGATGAACTGGATACCCCAGGTGCATTTCTGTCTTTTCATTTGCACATGTGCCTTCTGCGCCCTCATCCATTCAAAAAAATATAAAATAATGGGGAGGGCGATCTCTACCATGAAATCAATTACTACATCTCAAAGTCTCCCTCCAAAAGTTAAATATATTGTGAGGTGCTAACTAAAATTAACCACACAATGATGATGTACTTTAGCAAAATTTGCTAGAAAGAACGGTATAGCTCTTGGCAACAAGGATCATTAAATCTCTCATAAAAATAATATTCATTTTCTTTCCGTTAATTTCTTTTTTATCATCTCTCTCCAGACAATTCATTTTTTTTACAACAGCACCGGAGAGAAAGTTTAAATGAATTACACTGCAAATGATATCCAAATTAACTATCCATATCGTCTATAATCAGTTAACTGAAACAACATATGATGATTTGTTAGCATGCCCATTATATATAAGACTTTGCAATGTCACGACTAGATAAACCATGGAAAATCCACAACTTAAAACATTCTAACTTGTAGTTAGAACATTTATTAACATTACCCGAGCTACCATCATGTTAGATAGAATCCTTTATATACCACTGAAAATCAGTCTGATCCCTTATATACCACTGAAAATTGGTTCATCCCCTATATGCCATTGGTCCAAAATTGCGCACCCTATCATGCAACTTCCATCAGTTGACTGTGTTGACCGTTAACTCTAAAGTAAAAAAGACACATTTGCCCTTCTTGAGTTGTTAGGCATGTCCTATACTCAGAAAGGCAAATACGTCTTTTTTACTTGAGAGTTAACAGTCAACCCACAGACAACAGACGAGAGTGGCATAAGAGAGTGCGCAAATTTGGTCCAATGACATATAAGGACATAGCCAATTTTCAGTGGCATATAAGAGATTCTCTCGTCATGTTACAGTGTGCACCAACAAGATTGAACTTGTCAAGTTAAAATTATTTTTAACTAGTGTTTTAAAACATTTTTAAGAAAACTTTTATACGTGTACATTCTCCCTAGCAAAAGAACTTGTGACCGAGATTTTTCATTAAAATTTTATTCTGATTGTTAGCGTAGTGATGGGGATGTATATATGGTTTAACCCTGTGGACCTATGTTCGATTTTTGACATGCCCACACTTTATTTTTGATTATTTGAGATGCACTTTCAAGTGTGTAGTTGTAGGTGTGTATGGTTTTAACCCAGATGTAGGTCCCGCTCAATTCTCAACAAGTTCACTCTCCGTCCTTAATTATTCTTGTCCGGGTAGCTTTTTTTTATAATGGCGAGGTACATTAATTCAAAAAATGCAAACCACTATTATATTACTTGTGTACAATGATAGGCATTTTTCGCAAGCTCTACTTTATTGGACTATAGCTCATATGGTACTCATCAACTCAGGTTTTCAGTGATTTACAAGTTGTATGCAGGTCTTTTTCATTCTTTGTTGTAGAACATGCATGTGATCGAACAGGCTCTTTCAGAGAGGAGAGAGAGAGAGAGAGAGGGAGAGAGGGGGGGGGGGGAGAGCTGGCCTGAGATGACCTATCCTATGGAAGACACTGAACATCCTAGGTAAGGAGCCACTGACAAGCAGCCAGAGAGCTACGTGTCGCCCGTCCTGTGGCCCGCCTTCATGTCGCTGGAAACCATCAAACTGAAGCCGTCGGTTTCCTCCTTGTCCTTTGCTCGCCGGCCGATCCGTCCGTCTCTCTCCTCTCTCCTCGCCCTCAATCAATGGCCAGCTCCGGCATCTCCGGATCGATGGACGGGGAGAGCGCTGGCGAGTGCGAGGATGCTATGCATGCACGCTGTGTCGTTGGCGCGCATTCACCTCGGGGTCCCCGCACGCGCGGGGGGGTTGCAACAACGCATTACGCATCGCCTCGCGCGAGCGAGAGACGGCCGGCGAGCGAGCGAACGCGCCGTACGTACCCCGGGTTTTCCTCGCCGATCCATCGTACGCCGCGCGCCCGCGCGCTAACCTAGCTATACTAGCTCCGCCCCGCCGCGCCGGCGCCTCAGTCTCCTCCTGACTCCTGTCACGTCCGGCCCGCGCCGCGCCGCGCGCCCGTCCGCGCGTAGTACAGTTGATGTACATAGGCAAGGGAATTAAAGCGCGTTCGATCTGGCTGGCCGCGACGGACGATTCCCTCCAGCGCCAGAACGGGAAAAACACTCAACTACTCAAGTAGCCCTCCCTCCCCTGTGGCATCAATGCGGCGCATATCTTTCGCTTAGATCTCCCCTGCATCACTCACACATCCACCACTGACTGGGCCGGCTTGGCTGGCTAGCCACGCCACGCCACCATACACAAACCGACCCACGGCACAGGTTCGATCACCACCCCGAAAGTGTCAATATTCCTTCTCGAAACGCAGGGAGAGCATGCTCCAGTCGTACGTTTCCATTGCCGGCCATGCTAGCAAGAAAAGCTTTGTGGTGGCTACGCCACGGAGGGAAGGAGAGATCAGACATTAGATCGTTGCACAAACTGGGAAAGGCTAGATCGCAGAGAGAGAGAGAGGGAGAGATCGCCCAACGATCGGTTGCCATTAATTTGCTGGGTGTAGTAGTGACATCTCACAGCGTCGATCGTCTGATGGTGTTATCAGATAAAAAGTATCCAAAATGATCGGCGATTATACATGCAAGATCTAGCAAGCTGGGGCAATTTAATCTGTAGATCGAACTGGCCTTGAGCCCCAGAGGCAATTTAAGTTGGTCGTCCTATCCGTATGTCTCGTATATACATACCACCTCCGTCTCATAAAAATTGAATTTCTACCTTTTAACTTCTGTACCATAAAAATTGTATTTCTACTAATATGGGACCCAGTAAACTAATTACATTTTCTTGTAATCTTCCTTCCTTCTATCCCATCTCTAACCCATTATCTCAACATTTCTTTTAATCAAGTTTATATATGGAATATGTGCATGTATTGTATTTATTAAATAAGGTTATTGTAGTCATTTGCCTATCCTCCTAGTATGTCCTTAATTCTTTAGAAATTTATTTTTTATGGGACAGAGGTAGTACGTCGTATGGACCTCAGGATAGGTGTTACACGTACAGGTGACTTACTTGCAGGGTCATCATGGACATAAGCATCCTTGCTTTTGGTAGTGGAAGATGTTCATGCAGCTAGCTCTACTGGCAGCTAGCGCATGTACTCATACGTACCAGCTGGTTGGCTAGCTGAGGTACGTATGTGACGGGAAGGGCCAAATCCCACATTTTCAGGGCAGGTTTTGCGCAACATGGCAGGTGTAC